CTACTCGCCTGAGCCATTCAGGGAAAAGGAGCTGGAAAGAATCAAACTGGATGGGCTCCCCACAATTGCTGAGCAGTGACATGAAGACAGGCCTGAGTCGATACCTGCAGACCCTCCCCACAGACTCCTTGGCCTTTGACACGGATACATTCTGTCTGCCCCAGCCCAAGCCATTGGCCAGGAAGGGCCAGGTAGACCTGAAGAAGTCATGACTCCGCATGTCCCTGCAGGAGAAACTTCTTACTTACTGCCGGAACCTGGCAGCCACCCCTGCTGGAGAGCAGCCTCTGGCCAAGCAAGCTGGGGATTTAGCTCAGTGGTTCCACCGTCTGCCTCAAAAGTGCAAGGTCCCGAGTTCGATCCCTTGTACCAAAAAAAAAAACAACTGGAAAAATGCTGCCATGGACATATGGGCTGAGCTCCAGAGCTTCACAGGGCCAAGCTGCCTGACATGCCACTTTGGGAGATGTACTTGGCAGGCAGCCTCTATGATGACCTCCAGGTGGTGACAGCTGATATCCAACTCATCGTGCCCCTTGTGCTGGAGTAGAACCTGTGGTCTTGCATCCCTGGTGAGGATACTATTGTGAATGTTCCTGGCTTCTTCCTAGTTCATCATGAGAACCCAGAGTACTTTCCTTGTGGCAGCAGTTACTGGGACCGCTGTGTAGTAGGGGGCTACCTCTCCCCAAAGACAGTGGCAGACACATTTGAGAAGGTCGTGGCTGGCTCCATCAGTTGGCCAGCCATAGGGTCCCTCTTGGACTATGTGATCCGACCAGCACTGCCCCCAGAAGCCCTGATGTTAGAAGCGCAGTATGAGCCAGACAGCCATCTTGTCATTGACTTCCTGCCATCGGTGACCCTTGATGACACCGTCTTGGTGACCAGGCCACACCAGCTAGCCCAGTATGACAACCTGTGGTGGCTGAGCCTTCATCCAGCCGAGTCAGCACGCCTGTGGGCTTTGGACCAGGCAGACTTGGGCTGCCAATATCTGTGCCTCAAGATTCTCAAGGCCATATGCAAGTCCACCCCAGCTCTGGGCCACCTCACTGCCAGCCAGCTAACCAATGTCAACCTCCACTTGGCCCAGGAGGAGGCTGACTGGTCTCCGTATGTGCTGGCCGATCATTTCCTGCCAGACCTGAGGGGACTGATCTGCTACTTGGAAGCTGGAGTCCTGCCCAGTGCCCTGAACCCCAAGGTGAACTTACTTGCAGAGCTCACCCCTGAGGAAATTGACGAATTGGGATACACACTCTACTGCTCCTTGTCTGAGCCGAGGGTGCTGTTGCAGACCTAAGGACAGGTGAAGGCCAAAGCAGCTGTCGGGTGGTCAGGCCCCGGATTCTCCATCAGAGACACGTGGCTACATAGTTGGTGCCTCACAGGAGCCCTAGGTGCCTTCTGGTTCTTACTGGTCATTGTCTTGGTTGCTTTATGCTGATTAGAACGACATCTCTTTGGTCCCCTATTTTCTTAGCCAGCCCTATTTTTGTTACCAAACACTGTGCTCCCTACTCCCTCCTTGGTCCAAGTTGGTTTTTTCTAGAATGAATTGAGAAGGTAGAGTGCTGGCCCGAGCTGTTGAGACCACTTCTTTTGCATTTTGTCCCAGATTTCCTGCTTTGTGTGACCTGTGCTGCCCTTTTACCCCTTCCTATTCAGTGTTTGTCTGTTCCTGTTTCATGCCTTCTGTTTGGCTTTTGTCCCCGGAGTATAACTACCTAATCAAGATGTTCCCTTTCAGTTAAATATCACAGAAGCGCTGTGATTACTGGTTTGCAAGCCCAACTCTGCAGAGTGAGCACTGAGACAATATTTAGGGTTTCCAGGGGTGAGGCTGGTGGAAGAGCTGGTCTTTGATGCTGGTTCCTTTGACAAGGCCCCCCCCAATCAACCAACTCTTCATAAATGCCAAGAATATTTCTCTTGGGGACACTGTTACTGACTTACACAGGATGACAGGATGCAGTTATCTGGAGTTTTTATTTACTAGTGGTCATCAGTGAGTGCACAGGGGAACCAGGAGTTGGTTCCTAGGGCCCGGTGGAGGGCCTGCATGCTGTCTGCATCTCATCTGTGGCTGCCAGTTAGATAAAGGAGGGACAGTGGCTCCAAGGGAGCACTTCATGTGGATGCTGGTCTCATCCCTTTCTTTTTTTATTGTCAATAGGACAAGGCCTTGAAGGAACACAGGCTTGGCAGTAGAGGGTGAAGGAGGTGAACAGCAGGCTGTCAGCTGGAAAATCCAGTTGCCAGTTAGGGCTCAGTGAACGTTTTATCCTTTGAAAGAACTTGCCTTTCTAGGATGTTGCCTTACAGCAAGAACAGGCCCAGCAGCCAGCTACTCTTCCCCTGTGTCTGCTGCAGCAGTAGGAGAAAGGTGTTTGCTGAGCTCTCCTGGTACCTATAGAGGCCAAAGGGCAGGTGAACATGCACAGCCCTCTTCCCCTGTCCAGTCTCACCCTGCACCTGGGAAGATCGGTGCTACCTAGGGAGAGGGCACAGAGATAATCCCAGGAGGAGGGGGTGGGTATTGCCCACGTTCCTTCTTGGTGCCTGCTGCTAAAACCTGCACTATTTATGGCAATGTAAATATATCCTGAGGGTGGGGAGGAGTGTTTTAATATACCGTGTTTGTGTCTTAAAAATAAATAAAATAAAGTTTAATGATATGTAACTGTTAATCAACTTGACTGGATTAAGAAGCACCGAGGGAAGTAGTAAAGCACACTTCTAGGTGTGTCTGGGTGAGTCAAGGAGGCATGGGGCCAGGGATTCAGCTCAGTGGTTTTGCCACCTGCTGCGCAAGCACAAGGACCTGAGTTCGATCCCCGGTACCAAAAAAAAAAAAAAACAGGCGTGACCTTGGGTACTCTTATCTGTCCCTGATCCCTTCCTCTCTGGCACTGTTCCCCTGCTCTGCTTTCTTGCTGCCATGAACATATCATCTTCGCTCTGCCACACTCTTCTGCCATGATGCTTCTGTTTTAGAGCTGACTGATCATGGATGGACTAAATTCCCTGAATCCATGAGCCAAGTTACACTTGTCGTCCTTTAAACTGTGGGTGTTGGGTATTGTGTCCTGGAGATGAAAAGCTAAATAATACAGAGAGGTTGGGGGCAGAGGTTGGGAAGAGCCTAAACAAGGAAGGGATGGGATTATGGGAACCCAGAGAGGACATGGATGGCCCAGCTCCAGAAGATGCCTCAACATCAGAGGACAGCAGGCTTTTCTTTCTCCTTCCTTGGGCTAACCCACTTACAGAGCTGAGGGACACAGAATGGTGGCAGGCACCAGTTTCAGTGCAGGAGGGCAGGAGAGGAGGGTCTGGTCTGCTATGCTGGCCCTCAGGACTATGGCCAGATTGGTTCATGTAGGGCTGCAGTGCTGCCCATCTGCCACCTGTTCACAGCCTGCGCTCTCCACCAGAAGGCAAGAGGACCAGTTCCTCTCAGTGTGCCCAGCTCCCAGGGAAGTGCAGACTCAGAAGTGAGGTGAGGGACAGAAAACTTCTGTAAGAAAATGTATTTTCAATCCAAATGGGTGGTGCCTACAAAGAAATGTTTGGAACAAAAGCCAGTCCTAAGGACCATCTATTCTGCCAGGCCACTGGAATTGGACAGATGATTAAAATCTCAGTTCCACTTGGTATTAGCAGGTAAGTCTGGACATGTCATTTATTCTCTGCACCTGTTTCACCTGTGGGATGGGGAAACAGAGGGATCTGGGAGGAAGAATAAAAACACTGTACTCAGTGAGGACTCAAATGGAATAAAGTACACTTAATGGGGGCTGCTGGCCCAGACCCTGACCGGCACAGCATCTGGCTCTTCACCTAACACAGGAGTGTATACCAGCAACCTGCTGCTGGCGGGACACAAAATCAGGCTGAGTGTAAGGCAAGTAGGTGCTGATGCCCCTCGTTTCATCATGATCTCCACACCTAGCGTGTGGAGTTCTGTCAGCCATATGCAAGCAGGCTGGTGGGAACAAAGTGTAGGTGCCAGCTGTCCTGGTGCCGCCACATGAGCAGTAGCAGGCGTCTGGCATTGCTACTCTCATGTGGATGCTGGGGAGGGAAGAGCTTCGGCGTCTGAGTCTTCTGCTGCCTGGTTTCCATGAGGTCACAGTCTCCTCCAGAGTTCCGACCACTTCCATTTCCCTCAGAGGCTTCCCTGGGCCTGGGGAGTGCTGCCTGCCCAGTGCTCCATCATGGCCCAAATCCCCCACCTCACTCCCCAGACCAGAGCTCAGCCTCACACATCTCCTCCCTGATCTCAGACTTGTGTCCAAAACTCAACCCACCTGCTCAGTCAGTGTTTACACTGGTTCTTTGCCTTGACAGCTCCTCTTCCCATCCCCTCCCACACACACAACTGTACACACCTGGGAACTGAACCCAGGGCAACATCACTAGCCCTTTATTTATTTATGTACCGGGGATCGAACTCGGGACCTTGAGCTTGCAAGGAAGGCACCAGAGCCAGTGAGCTAAATCCCTGGCCCCTAGCCCTTTATTTTTTGAGACAAGGTCTTGTTAAGTTGCTCGTGCTGAGCTTGAACTTACGATCCTCCTGACTGGGCCTCCCACTCCTTTGCCCTTTCCTTCTCACACAAGCGCGGAGGCCTGGGAGTGGCTGTGCTCACTCCGGCAGACCAGCACTAGCAGAGTGCTCCTGCACAAGAGCCCACACTGATCTCCATGTCACAGCCCCACGTTACCAATCAGCCTGCCCATCACTCCTGCCCACCAGTACATCTCAAGAAACAAGAGAACACATTACTTTTCAAGCGTAAGTGGTAAGGAGCTGAACACAGCTTTTCACATTCTCAAATAATTTCCCAAGATTTAACAAGCAGAAAAAGGGAACAGAAAGTCAGAATTGGATATAGAATTCAGATTTTTTTCTTTCAGAGACACATTTTGTACAACTTTCAACATTTATATTTTCAAACAAAATAAGCAAAAAATACACTGTGCTAAAAAAATCCAAACAGAAATAATACAATTTTAATTTCAATATTTTAAAGTACAGAAATTGAAAAGAATACTAAATACAACTTTAAACAAGTCACTTGTCTTCCCCTATAATAATCAATGTAAGCTACTTAAAGACTTACAAATTGAGAGTAAAACAGAAACAAAATAAATACTGTACATTTTCCCTGCCTGCAGGCTAAAGATGGGAAATACTGTCATGAATTAGAAAAAAATGCTCTTAAAGCTTCTGCATCCCACTCCCCAGCCACACCCCGTCCCACCGTGACATGTGTGCTTCTGTACTCAAAGGACACACATGTGCACACACACTGGCAACCTACACATAGACAAGACACTACCCCGCAGACACCCCCAATGAGAAGGCAACAATCAGCCACCTGGGACTGTGGGCATAAAAACCAGTAAGGAAAGTCAGGCTAGCAAAACATTACTACAAAACTAGTAAATACCATAGCCAACAACTGTCCCCTTTGCAAATTTCACAGTTAAAACCCCCTAAAACCAATACTAACCCTCCCATCCATCACCACCCTCCAACATCCCCCAAAAGAAAACTTGCTGAAGCACTGGTAAAGTTAGACATTTCACAGTAAAGTGAAAATTCATATTATATAATCTCTAACATGAACCTTTTCACCCTCTTTCCACAGCATGAAACTGTTATGGCTTAATTTATATTAAAAGTAGAAAAGTCTTTTCTGAGGGAAATGCAGCGTGCAAAGATGCACGTGCATTTTCTGATCAGTGCTATTTCATACGTTAACAACTTCATGACTTGCTTTTGCAGTCAGAAGCTGTTTTTGGAAAAACTGAGGTTATAGCTTTTGATTCAGTCTAACCATAAACTGTAAGGCCCTTAGTTTGGTTTAGGTTTCTTTTGCAAGATAAAATAACCTTGGGGTTCACTTAGCAAGTTACACCTTAGGTCCCTGACTATAATGTGGAAACTGTATGTATGCTTTGTAAAAATAAAAGGTTACTTATGAATCTTAGAGGGAAGAAGTGACTCTAGGCAAGGAATTAACTCCTTAGTATATATTTATATTTAATGCTGGTAATTTTTACAAACCAAAATCCATCAAAGAAATATGAGTATGTCTGGGTTATTTTATTCCTGCAAAATATTATATATTATAGCACTTATGATCATTGTTTTGGTGAAAAATCTTGGGGAAAATAGCTGAGATATTGAAAGGGAAATAACCAAAATAAAACTGGTAGAAAACAAGTTTTCTGTGATTAAGTTCTACGTATGACTGCTTTCTGAAATAAAGCAAAGTGAATTCAGACTGTCATGGGTATTGCATAGGTAAACTACTTGGAGGTCATGGGCTACGTGGTAGCCAGGGTTTATTATTGAATAGTGCAGAGGAGATAAGCTTGTTGGAAGAATCACTGAATAGTTTTGATAAGGTTTTAACAAAAACTGTAAGGCTGCACTTGTTTAGACAACACCTTAAGACACTAGAGGGGCACCAAGGTGAGAGGGAGAGTCTAAGGGTATCTCAAGGGACTATCATTTTCTCCCCCTCAGTGAAGAGGGAGAGATGACTACAGGAGAATAAAACCAGTTAATCACAATAAGCTAATTGCTTTGGAAATGGGCATTTGCTTCTTTAGGATATTAACTATTAAAAAGTATTTATGTAAAGCATATCAAGTATTTTATTTATGGTATCATCACTGAAAAACTAGGGGAAGGGTTTTCAGTAAGGCTATATAGTATTAGGATTACATTATGTTCAGCAACAATTTAGTGAGTGTAGGAATGCTGCCCCTTTGCACCTACCTTCAAGGAAGCACATGGATATGTCCGACACAAGACATGCAGAGGCTGCAGCATCATGCAACTGGGGCTTAGGAAGCAAGGTATCAGAGGTCCGGGTCCACTGTGTCCTCAGGTAAATTCCTGCCCTATTTGTCTTATGCTTTATTCACCAGCTTTCCCTAGGCTAAAAGTTGTGATGCTCAGCCTTGAGACTGCTTTTGGTGAAGAAGTAGCTCACTGGGAAAGGACTGATGCTCCACCCACTCCACCCTGCCCCATGCTGGGCATCAAACCCAGGGCCTCCACTTGCTAGGCAAGAGCTTCTCATTACATAGGGAGTGACTCAGTTAATATTTAATGTGAAAGGCAAACTTAAAAATCTTTAGATTTACATTATAAAGGCCCTGTCTCCTCATGTGAAAACTACACTCACCACTAGAACATTCACTTCCAGCAGCCGCACAGTCGGCCATTCACAGGGAGCGTTCTTGTCACTGTCACAAGCCTCTGTGGGAGACATCCAACTGAGTCACCCTCCCTCACTGCTCCAGTGGGTTCTACCTCAGCTTCTGTCACCCAGCCCGGAGCTGTCACCGTGGAGTCCCATTTTCCTGACCACTTTATTTCTTCCCTAGTCCCATGGGTGGCTGTTAAATCATTCTAACCCTATGAATGTATCTAGGATCTGAAGAGTATCCCAAATCTGGGAGCAGCGCCATCCTAATTCCTCTTTGAGAAAAAGCTAAAGGCATCTTTTAGTTACTCTGAATCATCTTCATGTATTTGAGGATGAACATTCGCACTCACTATAAACTAGCTCACTTCTTTGACTTCAAGTGTGGAATCTGACTTCAATTCAGCACCTTGTTAGAGATCCTTCAGATTTTTTTAGGTAGCATGCCCTGCATATATATTTGATATGAAGTAAGTGTTATGAATAATAGCAGTTTTCACTTAAAATGTATATAAAGGTGCATTCATTATGTTTTAATGATAAATTCTGTGTAACTATGAAGTGTTAATAGATTAAGAAATGTTTTTCTATGCTGTTCTTCACTGGATAGTAAAATAAGCAGTTTTATCCAAACCTAAAAATAAGGAAACTAGGCCAGGGATTTAGCTCAGTGGTTCTGCCGCCTGCCTCAAAAGCGAAAGGATCCGAGTTCAATCCCCAGTACCAAAAAAAAAAAAAGGAAACTCAGATTCAGAAAAAATAAGTGACATAAGTTGCATACAGGTCACATAACTGACACATAAATGGTAGAACTTGAACCAAAACTTGGGTCTTTTGCTTCCTTCCATGCTAACGCATATCCTCATGTCACTGACGTTGTTACTAGCTTTTGAAATGTTTCTTAAAATATAAAGAACTTAGATCTTTTGAATTTCTACTTCTACAGTGGTATATCTCAGCTGAAACTAATAAAGTTATGCTTTTTTTTTAATAAACAGGCTCTCTTCTACTGAAGTTTACTTAGAAGTGAAAATAATACTGCTAACTTCCTGGAGAAGCCTTTCACTAGAGGGCAGAGACCAGAACTGCAACTACAGTACTATACAGTGCTGGGTACACAGTAGATGTCTGGTAAATCCCTGCTGTCTCATATGAATAAAGACAGTAGAGTATATTAAAAAGGCAATCACTAGGATTATTAAAAAATAGAACAGTATACGAGCTAAGTAATTACTGATAAAGGTGGGGTTGTCTCCTCTCTGACATGGTTTCAGTCAGAATGTTCAATTTTTTATGCTTCAAAAATGAACTGGTACTTATTAGTTTTATGTATTTCTAGGATACTGAACTACTATAAACTGCCAACTTTATGGTTTACATCATTCATCAATACTGAGGAGTATAACATTGTGTGATGCTGTTAATTACAGTACAAAGGATCCCAGGTTGAGTTACCTATTTGAATCAATAATAGGGAAATTACTATTAAAGTCATATACATTAAATCATTATTTCTCGATTTTACATACTTGTATTTGTTTATGACTAGGTAAATGCTACCACTGTTGTCATCCTAAGTTGTGGTATACGGTTTGTAAGTGAGACTGAGGCAAGGACAAAAGGTTGTATGTTACAGCTGAGCCCATTACCGGCAGTAGTTACCTAAAGTCCAGCCATTTCCATGAGATAAAGAGAGGTGTCATAGCTGGTAACTTTAAAAGAGGTTTGATTAGGAATCGGTGGATCAATGGTTGCATTTTTCCCAATTCAGAAAAAGATACATATATTTTCTTATAGCAGTTGTATTACCTTGCTGAAAGTTTTGTAACTTAGCCAGTTAATTAGCTAAAACTTCCAAAAATGAATCCACAGTCCTTTCACTTAAAAATCCCACATACTGGATACTCAAAATTAGTGTTTCATCAGCCTAAGGACACAAGATGGATACCAGCCACAATTTTAATTCATAAAAATCGTTTTAATTTTATAATTAAAGAAAAAAGTAATTAAAAATACTTGAGTTGCGAAAAATGTAAAGAAAGAAAATCCAGATCATGATGTCACTAGAAAAAGAAATTAAAGTTCTTATTTTTTAAACCCACTATAGACCACTGTAGACACACTAGAACAGGGTCTACAGAAAACCAAGACATCACAGTGATGTACTGGGTGGGAAGGTCAAGGCATCAGTCAAACCTGGATCTCAAGGTGCAGATATCCAGCCCGTGGCTGAATGTGCCCATCTCTCTACTAGGTACAGCATTATGTAGACAGGATTTAATAGGCTGTTCACAGATACTGAGGATTTCCATAAAAGTTCTTCTTCCTTAAAAAAAAAAAAAGTTCTTCTTCCTGACACTCAAACAGACTTTTGGACCAAAAAGGCTATTTCATTAGCTCTTTCACTGTTATCCCATGAAATACCGGAACGGAAACAGAGTAAGAAATATTCCTCTTTGGAAATATACATTTGAATACAACCACGAAAGATGATGGTATAGATTCTTTTTTCTTAGCAATTTAAGTGATAATACAGAAGGAAAATCCCAAGTTAAAAAAAAAAAAGACAGATCCATTATATGGCCGTATTTCTTCTCCATAAAAGTAAATTTCATCCTATTTGCCTATTGTCTTTGTAGGCATTTATAAAATGCTGTATTGTCAGACTTGGGAATAGTTCCACCTCACCCCCAGCAATCATTTACTTTTATATCCTGAGAGGGAAAAGAGAAAACAGAAATTCTTATAAGCAAGGCTGGGGATTTAACTCAGTGGCACCATGCCTGCCTCACAAGAGCAAGGTCCTGAGTTCGATTCCCAGTACCGCAAAAAAAAAAAAAGAAACTCTTATAAGCAACCAAAAACTGACATTTAGTAAAAATTGTGCATAAAGGAGAGAACTGATTACCTTAAGTTCAACCAGACATTTAACCTCATTATGCACTGGCCAAGTTAAGGTAGGCGGAAGTAACTGCATAAAGCACCCTTTTTACTCCAAATCCTTATGTGAAATAATTTCTTAAAATGTTAAGAAATAAAAAAGTAAACACACACACCCAAGATCTACCCCAACATGCTTGCTTCTATACAACTTAATATAGTATAATCCTATTGTATTACGGCTTATTATGCAGATTTGAATATCCTAAATCAAATCATACTTCTCAACAGATTAGGTTTAGTGAACAAAAGCATCAGAAGATACAACCCTTGCAGCAGGTGCTGGCCCTGTCCTCCAACACCAATGGCATGAAAAAGGCCCTCTGTACTACAATGTATTTGAAAAAAATAGAAACATGACATTTAACCAAACTTATAATACTTTCCCCACAAGTAGGAAGAAGATATTAAAGCTGTTCTCTTTGGGACCCAGATATCAGCAGAAATGAAAATGCACAAAGAAGCCTACTTCCTTATATTTAGAAGAAAATCACAATGTCAAAGGAAATGAGGGGTGAGGGATCTTTTATGGAGCTCTTACACATTGGCTATGCAAGAGTTTCCCTGAAAAGAGAAGAGTCTTGTCGGATCATCACAAAATGAAGGGTGCAGAGGGAAGGGGGTTAGAAGAGAATCAACCTGGATAACGGTATGCACCTTGGATGTTAGCAAAAGCGAAGCTAATAGCTTATAAAAAACACATGAAATATATAAAATAAAATGATTTTCATATACATCTTAATTTAAAATAATTAATGCATCAAATCCCTGTTTAAGACTTTAACCTGAATATCAAATTTAAGAGTCCAGACTAGTTAATGTTACCGTGGCTCTTTCCCACATGTAACACACATACTATCAAAAATAATTTAAAAACCTTCACATTCTTAAATCTAAATTAGTGAGATATTTCTCCAGAAATCTTCCAAATAAATAGCTTTAAAAAAGAAAGAATTTAAAAGCTGTTAACTTTAAAAAAAATCTGTTAAATAAATTATTGATAATTCTTTACCCTACTACTGAAAATAAATCAAGACACTACCAACAACAAAATGAAATTCAAGCCCTGACAAGAGACCCTTTCCAGTTCAAGGTCTCTTTTTAAGGTTCTACCCTCCTCCTCCCTCTCCCCACCAGGTCCAAAGGGTTATTGCTGAGTGGGTGTGGCACAGTGAAGACGCAGCATCAGGGTCACTCTGCTCTTCGGGCAGTGTTCTTAGTGTACACGCCAACTACTCCAGGCAGGGGTAGCAGAAGCTCCAGGCTTCTGCCCCCAGACTGCTCCAAAGGGAGGCGCGGCTGCCACAGCAGCTCTGTCACACAAAGAACCGTGCATGGCCATTTCTGTTCAACTTAAGGATCTTCCCGAGACGCTGTTTGGCTGTCGCCATTCCTTTTTTTGGACGTTTGCCTATAAAACATAATACCACAGTAAGTAATAATGCAAAGCATACCCTCCAGACAACAGCAGAAAGGTTTAGGAAGGAAGCCTCTGTAGTGTTCTGCACACACATGCCACACTTCTGGATAGCCACTGTGGAAAACCCACACCAGCAGTGGAGCCAGCCTCACACACAATGCTTCACCAACACAAAAGAGTATGGTTTCATCTCCCAAGCCTGGGCTCCATGCTCTGCTCTTCCTGCACTGCTATCTGTTCTGTTACTTCCCTCACGTTAGCCCAGCTCACTCCTTACCATCCTGTTTTGGGCTCCCCCTCCTCCTGAGCCTCGGGAAGCCATTCTGGACCCTTGGGGCCTACTTGGGTGTCTTCCTCCTTAGCACCCTATTATGGTTGTGTCTAGACGTCCCCCCAAAGCCTCATGCAGTCATAGGTGGGGCCTTTTCAGAGGTGGCTGGATCTAGAGTGTATGATGCTGGAACTGATTCATGGTGCAATGCTAGGATCAAGGGCACTAAGATTAAGGGTAAGTCCCTTGTTGCTTTGCTACTTTCTGCCTGTCATGAACTGTTTCTCCTTTGTGATGCCTGTGATGCCGCACCACTCTGTCTTGGAGCCAGACTAGAATAGACTGAAACCTCTACAAATGTGAGCTTTCCCCCTTTAATTTTAGGTGTAGGGTATTTTCTCTCAGCAATGAGAAGAATAACTAAGACACGCCCCTGGTGCACACTGCTGTGAGAAGGCCATCCAGTGTGCACAAGATGCCAAGCAACTAGGATGTAGAGACTGCACTGCCATCGTGCATCAAGAAACAGACTTGATCTGCAGGTGAGTCACCATTACCTTTTGTTGCCTGGTTGCTGATAGGTGGTAGATTTGATGCAGGTCTCTTTGTGGGGTGAAGGGGCACTGAAAAGGAGGATTCTCCAGCTGGCATCTCTGGGCTCAGGCTGCCGCTGTTTATCTGACATACACCTGCAACCATGCTGGAATTCTGTGTGTACTTTCCATTCAGAAGGCCTGCGACATTGCTGTCCATACAGTTTCTACTTTTCACCTTTTGACTCGTTTCTGATGAACCTTCCTTTTTGTTGCATTTCTGGTTTCTGCTTACATCCTGAAGAAATAAGGAAACAAAGCTGAATTTTTAGGGTTTAATGCATATTTAAGCTCTCTCTACACTAGCAAAGTCATGAGAGAAAGGAAATAAACTTGAATTTTGGTTTTCTGAACAGGGATTAGCTACAGATGACCACCCTCTATGATGGTCCTATCAGTCCATAATAAACCTAAGAGTCTAGAACTCAGATCTTGAAGTTTCATCATTAACTTAAGAACAAAAAGGGAGAGAAAATAATTTAAATGAGCAGAGGTCCCTCCCTGCCATTCCACCTCCATGGAGAGCACCAAGATGGAAGAGATGGCCCAGTGCTTCCTTAGCGCGCCACAGCTCCCATGCACCTCCCACGGTGTAACATACTAGCTTTTTTACAGCCTCTGTAAGGTTCACCTACACTGTATTTATTTGCTAGGAAAATCCTGAGATCAGAGCCCCAAGCCTGATTTCTTTTCTTTTGTTGTTATTGTTGTTGTTTTTTGAAACAGGGTCTCACTGTGTAGTTCAGGCTGGCCTAGAACTCATGGCAATTTTCCTGCCTTAACCTCGTAAGTGCTGGGATTACAGGCATGCACCATCACACCCTGCTCCAAGCCTGATTTTTCTTGAACTATAACTCCTTTTTCAGTGTCTGAAAACTATACTGAGTCAAATTTCAGGGAAAAAAAAACCTGCTGACTGATGAGTCTTGAAATTAACTGATAGGGTCATGACCAGAATTAAAAATGGAAAGGAAAAGGGACTGAGGATGTAGCTCAGCGATACAACACTTGCCATCATGAAGCCCTGGGTTTAATCCCTCGTACTGCCAAAAAAGAAAAAGAAAAACAGAGACTAGACATGAAAAGAGCACACTGTGATGTGATCTTCCATTAAACTAGTTTAATTTGTGTGTAGGAGAGACATAAATATATTTGTCTTAATCAGTTTCAAAACCAGTATTAAACATAGACCTGGTTTAAATCAGTCTTACAAATAATGTTCGTGAGCATGAAAAAAACAAATGCTGATTTGATATGCCACAGAACACTTCTCTAGATCACAGGTAAAAAAATATTCATTTTCTCTGATATGACCCTACTAATCATGTGTCCTCTGCTTCCTCATTTTCAAAAATAATTACAAAAACAACAGTCATATAGCTTATTTTAATACTGAATCCTGTAATGCTGATAAGTGACAATTTCACACCCAAGTCCCTCTTTCTTACAGTGGCTCCTCATGTCCCGTTCTCTTGCTCTCCCTCAGTGTTTCTTTAGATGTAGTCTAAGTTCAAGTTCTAAGAGAGAGGCAGCCAAGGACTCCCGCTTCTGCTGATTTACTTTCCTGACATGTGCTTGGGTTGAGGAGTCTGGGGCCCCCTCTGCCATGTGAGAATTCTGATTCTTTGGCTGCCACCTTCCAAGGTTTGCAGCAAAAGGTCCCATCACTTTTCTTGGCTGGTGCTGCCGGTAAGGCTTTAGCTTTTTTAAAAATGTCATTTTGAGTTTGTGTGGTATGAGCATGAATATGCTGGGATCCCAAGACATCTAGTTTCTTCTCGTAGAGCAGAGGTTCTTAATCTGGAGTCAATGGAGAGCAACGGGTGGGCACAGCAACAACCATACACAAAACTCAGTATTTGTGATGAGTATTTTCCTAAAAGAGAATCTGCAACTTCCATCAAATCCTCAAAGAAATTTAGTACCTAGCATGAACAAGAGCCAGTGTCAGAGATTAAAAAGGAGATTTTTTTTCCTCATATTTTTCATTCTAACCAGGTACAACCTACAGTTGCCCGCAGCTAGGGGTTTCGGCTGCTCTGAGGAAGTCACTCTTTCCAGCTCACACTCTGTCCTGAGCTGTGCAGCAGTCATCAGAACCCTGAAAATGCACAGCTGTGCAAATGTGCATTTAATTATAACTTTTTAGTTTCCTAAATCTAGAAGGTGATAACCAGTTCTAATTTAAAAAGAAAGTAAAAATGAAGTTAATAACAATTCTAATCTCCTTTTAATAATTCAACCTATGAAGCCTGTAATTCTAGCACTTGGGAGGCTCAGGCAAGATGATCACAAACTACACAGTAAGACCTTGACTCAAAAAAAACAAAAATAATTAAAAAGTTTTAAAAAGTTTTCAATCTCTGAATATACCTGAGGATTAAATCTGGAAGTTCTATCAATTTGTTTAATCCAAGAAGAAGTCCTCAAGTCTTGATCTTGAGTCTTGACATGATATCCTAAAGAGAAATATTAATTCAATTATCTTTGCACAAACTTGATATTAAAGAACAAAATAAGCCTAATGCTTAAAACTTAAAGCAATTTTATCTTGACATTTTGTTAAAAAATATATTAACTCTTTCCATGTTTCTTCTCGAACCTTACTTTCACTATACTCCTTTTCCTCTCCGAAATCGCCTGCTCACTTGCTATTTCTTTCAGTTCTCTGTCTTTATAGACAGGTTTTGGGCCAGGTGTTGGGAGACCGGGAGGCAAACCCTATGGCCATGTGTTGTCGATGTGGAATCAAACACCATATACTCTCTCTAAATTTGGCACATTTTCCCATATAGAGTAAGGCAGACGCAGGCCGGGGATTTAGCTCAGTGGTTTCGTCACCTGCTGTGCAAGTGCAAGGACCCAAGTTCGATCCCTGGTACCCCCCCCCCCAAATTGCACCCTTTGAGTAAGGCAGATGCTTATCTGAATTTCCATAAAAGTTTTCTCTTTTTTAAGTGACAAAAAGATTACAGAAAGACAAAATGGGAGTATTGGAAAGACAGGCAAACCCAGATTTAAATTTGATTTGCTTCATTACTAATGCAACTTTAGGCAAGCTGTTTAATCTTTCCAAACTTCAGTTTCCTCTTATACAATAAGCACGGACTGTGGGATCAGACCATTCTGGGTTCAAATCCCAACAGCTTTGAGTAATAGCCGTGTAAAATGCAGACAAGTTAAATTAATTTCAGTAAGTCTTCTTTCTTTTACCTGTAAAATGGTGGATTGATATTACCGAGCCCATAAATGTTTCAAGAATTAGGTGAAATAAGTATCAAGCTTCTGGTGCATAGCTGACCCTTAATGACACAGGACTGAACACAAATGTTACATGGGCATTTGATTTTAATACAATAGTATGTTCTCTCCAATTCTCAGACTTCTGGGGAAATACAATTTTTCTCCAAAGGCACTGAGAAGAAAACACTAGGTGGCATCACTGATATGCCACTGAATCAGCTCTTTTCCTAACGCTTCCTTTTCGAGGAGGAAGAATACCTCAACAAGAAGAAACAATTCAAAACTTGTTTTTCCTCTCATAAAAGGAAAAAGGGTTGAATGTTCTGGTTTAGAACACCATTTAAGAGACTGGAACATCCTTTCATCCTGGTCAAGTTGCTAATAAAAGGAAAAGAATACTGCCTTGCAAGAGCAGTAGTGGAACTGTGCCAGTGAACACAATTTACATTTTCAGTTCTTGTCCTTGTTTTGGAGTACTGGGGATCAAATGCAGGACCTTGCACTTGCCAGGCAGGTGCGGTGCCACTGAGCTACATCCCTAGCTACATTTTCAGTTATGATGCCTGCATCTTACGTGCAATAAACAGTCCTTATTTGTATAATCTGTAATTTAAACTAGAATTACAAGACTAATAATAGTCAGGGGTCATGTTACTTTTCAGGTACTGATAATTTATGTTTCTTACCATATTCCACTGGTTTATCATAGCGATACGACTGCCTAACCTCGTGGTTACTGCTGTGGAAGCTACTGGGATCCTCGGGAGAGTTCCTTGCACCACTGCAGTCTGTGCTTTGCATTTGCCTTTGTAAACATGTGGAATAGTGCAACCTTGCCATGGACAGCATGCCCTGAATAGCTTCCTCCTCTGTGCTCGTGGAGGTAGGACACTCCCTAAGGGGGCAAGTGAACCAAAAAGGCAACAGTTTATTCTTGCTGATAATACATTTAATAATATTTAAAATAGTTTTCATAGCATCTATACTACAATGTGAAACAACTGCTACTACTAATAAGCCTACCTTTTAATTGGAATTTCACTTCTAGATGGCTTCTGGCTCTTTTGAAAGAAGTTCTTCATCACATTAGATTCCTCCTTAAAGTTTGATGTTACTTCTTGTTTCTTTTCATCACCTGAACTTTCAGATTCTTCAGTGGTAAAATTAATTTTCTGAAATAATAAATATTTCAATGGAAACAAAGCTATATAAGAAACTGGCCAAGTTGGGCCGGGATTTAGCTCAGTGGTTCTGCCACCTGCCTTGCAAGTGCAAGGTCCAGAGTTTGATCCCTGGTACCAAAAAAAAAATAGAAATTGGCCAAGTCTATACAAATTAATCAAAAGAGACTATCTGTCTAGGGAAAGTCAGAATCTTAATTATCATGGAATTCTGTGTTTCATATGAAAATCTTTGGTAACTACAGTAACATACTACCTGAATTAAAAACACACAGTACAGGCTTTCTGTAAGGTAAAATAAAACATAACCTATAATAAATATAAGCAATAGAACAACAGTATAAGCAGAAGCGTCTCTCCTTGTTAATCTGCTGAATGGCAAAGTGTGGTGCATATATGTGATCACTACTGCAGGAAGACCATGTGTTGCACAGTCAGAGCCAAACACTGAGAGAGCTGTCATGTGCCAACCTCCCAGGTGAAAGCCTGTAGGCATTCACCTTCCCATCAAGTGACACACACGTCATAGTGCTGCAAGCATACCAGTGCAGTGCAATCAGGTCCAGAGTCTTCTGAATCAGAAATATCAGAATATTCTGATGATCGATTCCTGAGTTCTGACTTCACACTTGTAAAAAGCCCTGATGAAGGAGGGAAGGAGGAAAAGAACAAGTCATTAGAACTTTATGAACAAGATGACAAGGCGATCTCTCAGGTCTACCCAGCTTCATGATAGCTCTCAATCTCCTCTGCCCTACCCTCCTTTCACACTGTTTTTATTCTCTCCCTTTGTTTCCCCCAAGGTCTCTCTCTCTAATTGGTAAAGTTACAGACTTAAATATGTTCTGAAAACCTTTGTGGAGCTGGGGATTTAGCTCAGTGGTTCCGCTGCCTGCCTCAAAAGCGCAAGGACTCAAGTTCAATCCCCGGTACCCAAAAAGAAAAAAAAATGATCATACGTTTATTTTTTTTTGAGACAAGGTCTCGCTTTGTGTTCAGGCTGGCCCTGAACTCACTCTGTAGCCCAGGCTGGCCTTGAACTTGTGGCGAGCCTCCTGCCTCTGCCTCCTGAGTACTGGGACTACAGGTGTGCGCCACCACGCCCAGCAATTACATGTTTCTTGAGTGGGCTGACTTTATTTCCTTCCAGAAAAGAACCTTCAAAACTAAAATTAGGGCTGGAAGTGTAGCTCAGTGGTAAAGCACTTGCCTAGTACATGAGAGGCCCTTGCTGGAGGATGCTTTTCACTTTCCTTTTTGTATTAGTTTTCTCAACAGAGAACAGAAAGGTAACTCTTGTAAATGCATTCAGACACCATGAGTTCAGCAAGCTTATAAACTGAGCCTTGCCACCTAGCACTGCCACACAGCAACTGTTTCATCAAGTCCTGCTGGTGAGCTGCCTCTTCCCTGGCTGCAGAATCACCAATATTAGTACCACATTTACAGTGCTTGGAATTAGCAAGAAATGAGGAATTCAACATGGATTGAGTAATATTTGTCATCTGCAACATTTACTCATCCAACTAGTAAAATATTTATTTTAACTGTTTTTATAATAGAAGGGTATATGGAGGTCTTGAAAAATGTTTTAAAAATTGAGATTTTAGGGCCGGGGATTTAGCTCAGTGGTTCCGCCACCTGCCTCACAAGTGCAAGGACAGAGTTTGATCCCTGGTACCAAAAAATTGCCAGGAGTTCTAGGGCGGCCTGGACTAGCTAGCAAGGCCCTATATCCTGAGTCCAATCACAAAAAAAAAAAAAAAAAAAAAAGGAGGAAAAAGAAACACAAATTGAGACTTTATTCAAAGAAGAAAGCTCTCAAGGAGGAGGTATTAGTCTGCCATCTGATATTACTATTTCATTTGATGACAACCAACAACCCAGTAGAGACATTCTTGTCAACAGTCAAGTGCAGCCACAGCAGGTAGATTCCTAATAGCTTCTAGTGGGCCAGATCATATATCTCCTAATTCTGAAAACCACGTACCTGGTAGCAAAAAATATACATGAAATTGCATTATACTTGAAATTTATTTTGGGGAGCAGAGGCCATAAAATGTAGGAGGATTCATGAGACCCTTTAAAAGTTGAGTAAACCTGGGTCTCACTGACCCCACACTTGCCTAGCCATTACACCTCACACGGCACTCACATTCAGCATTTCCCTAGTGGGGGAATTACACAGACAGACTTCTGAGTTTTCAACAGTATATGGATTTTCAATCCTATAACAAGTTTCTTTACTGACTGTCACATTAATAAAGAACAGACTTTTGGGCTGGGGATTTAGCTCAGTGGTTCCGTTGCCTGCCTTGCAAGCGCAAGGTCCCGAGTTTGATCCCCGGTAACCAAAAAAAAAAAAGAACAGAATTTTGAAATGACCATTACAACAAACGTACTGTTGAGTGGTTTCTGAGGTTCTTCACTTTCCATCCCCTCTGTTCCTGAACTTGCTTCTGTTTTCACGTTTGCTTTTTTTGTCCTTCTCTTATCTTCTTCATTCTCGCTGTCTGCTGTATAAAGACTCTGATCTGCAAAGGGCTGCCTCTCGTCTCTGCAGCATGGAGAAAGTAGACGAGTCAGAAACTGTACAGGGCTATGGGCTCCCACCCCTTCAGTCAAAGAGTAAAGAACTGAGAACTTTCCCTGGGTGACAGCTTACAACAGCATAGACTGGGCGTTAAATGAGCAAGGGAATCCACTGAAAATTACATACTTAATTATTCTTCCATTCGTCAGCAGTAATCGCAGATCATTATCTTTTGCTCTCCATTCAGGCACCGTGGAAGATGGTTGGAGGTGTTTATTGAATTTTCCATTCAGTTTTGAGCTCAAAGTGTCCTTAAAGAAAGAAAACAGACTGACTTACTCTCCACCTTCAGGAATACCTATGACCGTGCCCTACCTCACCCACGGCCCTGCCTTGCGTAAGTCAGAATCCCTCAGGCAGAAGCTCAAGGATCACTCCCACTCTCAGGAAGGTCATCAACAATAAAATACCTTCTGCGAAGTAGAATACAAAACCTGCACAAGGCGAATCAAGGGAAGATTGCTCTTGCAGAGGTTGAAAACTGGGACAGCACTGTGTTAGGTATCTGCGTGCTCTTTCTTCAGGGTTCCCACACATTTTGGCCTCCTCCTTCCACCTTGGCCTCCCACAAGGCACTGTCAGAGCCACACTGCTGTCACTAGCCATAGAGGCCACCACGTGACACAGAGAGATAACAGGAGCTGTTTTTTAACGTATTAAAATTATCTCCTTTTTAGGATGATCTTTTCCTTAATAAACAAAACCTTTCATAATGAGCTAAATCACCCCCAAATTGCTAGAGATTATGTTTAGAACCACACTTTTTTTTTCTTTTCTTTTTTTTTGGTGGGGGAGGTTGGTTACCGGGGATGGAACTCAGGATGTTGCACTTGCAAGGCAGGTGGTGGCACCACTGAGCTAAATCCCTGCCCCTACAACACATTTTTTTCTATAATTTTATCAAATTTAAGATATTTAAGAAGGGTATGATTTCTGTGTAACCTAAAATTTTAATCCAGAGCTATCTCTTTACTCACTCTAGAGTCTGGCACATCCTCTGCCTGACACAGATCTCTCGAGCTCACAGCCCTCTTTCACCAAGTCACTGCGTGCTGATTTCACCCCATGCCCAGGCACCCCTCTGCATCCACCCTCGGACTCCTACAGATTGATTCTGAGTCTCCCAGCCCACTGACAGGTGGCTGGTGCTGCTGGCCCCAGGATGGGATTTCTGTGTCCACTCTTCCTCTGCCTGTACTTCCTCACAGCTCTGTAGCCAGATCTTGGTCCTGTTACTTGTGTCAGGTCAAATGTCACCCAAGAAGCTCTCTGACACTCTGACACTTCATCTCATTGCTCTGATGCTCTGGGCCCCTGTGGAACATCCAGCACCGGAAATGATACTGTTTGTCTGTCTGTCTCCCTCTGACTCCACTCCGATGAAAGCTCACAAAGCAGGGCCTTGAGTTCTGCTCCAACTGGTCTTCTCTAGAGTGGACGAGAGCACCTGGTAATTGGTGAGCACTCAGGAAACACGTCAGCAAATGCAAGAGGCCTGGCGAGATCACCCCCGACACAC